ATGAGTCTAGAGTCCCCAGCCTCTTGTCTCTCCACATCATCATCTTTGCCTCCATCTCTGGCATCACTGCTTCTCTAAACAGAGTCCCACACTCTGCTCCCGCTCATCTCCCTTGATGGGCCTGGGGTCCTCTGCTCCTGGACTGCAATATCAACCACTCCCCTCTTTTTGCTACAAAACCTCTACCTTTATTTACAGTTGCAACACTCACAATAAGTCCTGATAACAATTACTCACTACTGAATCACAAGAGTCTTATCCCCATCTCCTTTCACCAGCCCCATCTAGACAAGTTAAAAACCACTCAGGGGAGATTCTGCCTTCTTCTGAACCCTCTGAAACTAAACTCCCTTTTGAAAACTTGTAAACCAGTCACTTTGTGCCTTTATAGCCAATGTTTAAGTTGCCCATCTCTATCACCTGTGTACAGAGGCATGGGAATGATCCTTGCTGTGAAGATTCCATCCCTCCTTTAAGCTACTACATCCATAAGTATAGGTCAAGTTCATCAAATTGTAACGAATTACACTTCCTTTCTTTATCTAAAAATAAATAAATAAATAGTCCCCCCTCCCTCTTTCTGTATTCCTCAAGTCGAGTTCTGACCATCCAGCCATTGAGGCTAATGGGTCAATTGGGTACTGTCTGCAAGTATGGGTGTTCTTGTGCATGTCCCCTCACTTCATATCAGCTGGACGCTTCACTCTCTGCTCTAGCCCTCTGTGGCTATGTCCTTGTCCATGGGCTCAGGTGTGTCTCCAGGTCTCATCATACTGCTGGCCAACCAGGTCTCACCATACTCCAGATTGACTGGAATCTATTGAATGTGGTCGAACTCAGCCCACCTCTTCATTGATGCTTTCCTCCCCCTCATCAGTAGACCAAATGTGGTCACCAGCAAGATAACATGCCTGCTTGGGTATTCCCTTTGAGTTTCAGTCTTGGAAGGGAGTTGCTCTGAAGGGACTTGATTGCTCCCCTGCGGACAACCCCTGTGGACAACTTGCTTGTTCTTGTGGTAGTCAATCAGACTGCCCTTTTGACATACAGGTATTTTAATAAAGACTGTGAATTTCTAGCTCACTAGTTGCTCCATGGGTTACTGTGAGTTGGCACTTAACAACAAAACAACAACAATGAAAGCATTTTAATACTTTATCTTGGTTGGAAAAGGATGCTTGTTTTTAATCCCACCTTTAATAATGCTCAATTATTTGCCCTAAATGAACATTCATATATGATGCATTTTGTTCAGCTCGGTTTCGCTGTGTACCATGAAGTCTAGATACAGACACAATGAGACTTGTGAGCCTGATGTTTAAATGCATGCAAGCATTTAAACAGTTTATATTAAAAATTAAAATAAAATATTGTATAAATTGTATAAGGGAATTTTGCTTTAAGCCTTTGCAAGTAACAGTGAATACCCATCTTTTTCCTTTTTTTTTTTTTCTCTTATACTAACTTTTCCTATTGATGAACTGTTGGACTTAGTTCAGTTTAATTCACATATTTATAGAGCACATCTATTAGTAATTCTCAGCTATCCCTTTGAGACTCTCTTTGGAAACCCTTTACAGGGTCCCTATGAGTTGGAACGGATGCCAAGGCACTTAACAACAACAGCTTACCCCGATAGTGCAGTTGGGTACGTGCTAAACTGCAAACGGAAAGCCTGGCAGTAAGAACCCACAAGCTGCTCTTCAGGAGAGAGATGTGGCGGTCTGTTTCTATAAAGATCTACAGAGCGTTCTACTTTGTCCTATAGGGTTTTGATGAGTAGGGGTCGACTCCACAGCAGTGAGTTTGGATTTGGAGCAAGAGTCAATTAAAATGTGTTGGCGAGCTGTGATGACAGACAAGAGCTATTCACTATCTCCTGGAGCAGGAGGGGAGAGGATAAGAAGGCTTCCCAGGAAATGGCATGCCTGTTTTGAACACTTGTGAGAAAGGGAGCTGTGAGTACTTTTCTAGCAGAGTGGAAAATCTGTAGGCAAAGAGGAGCTGGGGATGTAAGAGAGCAAAAGGTTTGGGGCCTGGTGGGAGTAGTTTAGGTTGGGGAGAGATTGCTGTGGAGAGGGATGTAATGGAAGGCAGGAGGCTGAGGACTGATGTGGAAAATTGTTAAGTGCGGAGGGGCATGGGCTTTATACTGAGGCGGGGAGGGAATGAGGAATTCTGCAAGTTCCCTGACTCTCCTGGGAGGGAAGAGCAATCCAAAGTATTGGAGTTCAAGGTGAAGATAGAACTAGGTTTGGAAGTTATCCATTGATAAAGGATAGGGACTAAATTCTGGGAATCTCTGACCCTCACCAGCTTTCTGAGCAAACTCAATGGGAAAAGGGAAGAGAAACCCATGAGTTCTTGATGCCTTTTACTGAAAGGGGGAGGAGTGTCAGGTAAAGGAGTCAGCCTTAGATTCTCAGGAAAGGTCTAAGTGACCAAGTACCAGGATTGAGATTTTTGTCACAAAACAGACCTTTTATACGGACTCAAGAAAAGGTAAACAAAGCCAAAATTTGAATAAACTTATAACCACAGCATGAATTGAAAAAGTTAAGGACTGCCCATTAAGAAAGCATGTTAAAGAAAAAGGTGAAACCCTTCTTCGTCTGTTTTGACAAGCAGCATGATCCTAAAACCAAGATGACACAGTATACTTATATGAGTTAGCATAAATAAAGTACCCATTGGTTTGGGTATTTTGAGTTCTGTACTAGACTGCTGCAATAAAGCAAAATTGCAGTAAAGCAAGTCATATGAAGGTTTGGTTTCCCAATGCATATGAAAGTTATAGTTCTATTATAATGCAGTCTATTGTTAAGGGCCATCAATCAGTTTCTGACTCATTGCGACTCTATATAGGGTTTCCCAGGAGTGGCTGGTGAGCTTGAACCACCAACCTTCCAGTTCAAACCAACTTTGTAGTCCAGCACATTAACCCACAGCACCATTGTTGTTGTGTTGTTAGGTGCCATCAAGTCAGTACTGACTCATAGCGACCTTATGCACAGCAGAATGATACACTGCCCAATCCTGGGCCAACCTCACTACTGTTGGCACACTTGAGTCCATTGATGCTGCCACTTGGCCAGTCCATCTCATTGGGGGTCTTCCTCTTTTTCTCTAACCTTACCAAACGTGGTATCCTTCTCCAGCAACTGGTCCCTCCTGACAGTATGTCCAAAGTATGAGGGACGAAGTTTGGCCATCCTGGCCTCCAAGGAGCAGTCTGGCTGCACATCTTCTAACACAGATCCATTGGTTCTTTTGTCAGTTTCAATATTCTCCAACACCATAACTCAAAAGCATCATTTCTTCTACAGTCTTCCTTATTCACTGTCCAGCTTTCGCATGCATATGAGGTTATTGAAAATACCATGACTTGGGTCAGGTGCATCTTAGTCCTCAAGCTGACATCTTTGATCTTCAACACTTTAAAAAGGTCTTTGTGCAGCAGATTTGCCTAATGCAATACGTCATTTGAGTTCTTGACTGCTATTTCTGTGATGTTGATAGTTGATCTAAGAAGAATGAAGTCTTTGACAAATTCAGTATTTTCTCCACTGATAAGAATGTTGTTATTGGTCCAGTGGGGTGAGGATTTTTGTTTTCTTGACATTGAGATGTAATCCATACTGAAGGCTCTGCTCTTTGATCTTCAGTAAATGTTTTAAGTCTTCTTCACTTTTAGCAAGCAAGGGTGTATCATCTGAGTATCGCAGGTTGTTAATGAGTTTTCCTCCAATCCTGATGCCACATTTTTCTTCAGATAACCCAGTTTCTCAAATTATTTGCTCACCATACAGGTTGAATAAATATGGTGAAAGAATACAACCTTTTCGAACCCCTATCTTAACTTTAAACTATTCAGTGTTTCTATGTTCTGTTTGAACAACTGCCTCTTGGTCCAGGTACAGATTCCTCATGAGTACAATTATGTGCCGAGAGCCTGCCCCAGCATATTTATTTCAGGTTTTTTTCCGAAGACGTGTGCGGCATCGGCGATTAAGGGATTACACGGAGTCATGGGTCATGATAAATTTAAAATCTTCTTAATACATGCTTTATTCTTCTCATTTCTATACTACTCTATTAGTCTACTTCTCTCATTCTTTACTGCCCTGCTCATTTTTTACCCTCCTGCTCATTCTTTTCTCTCCTGCTCTCCTGCTCCTGCTTTCCCCTGCTCCTGCTTTCATTCTTTCCTCTCCTGCTCATCTCTTCCACTTCTTTACTAGCTTCCCCTCCCTCCATTTCTTTACTGTCTCTTTCTCTACATTACTCTTATTCTTTTTATTTCTACATTACTACTACTAATTAGCTACATTACTGCTTTCACTACTCCACTCCCCTTCTCTACAGTAATCCTCTGCTTGGTATTTAAAGTGGTTGCTTATAGTAAGGAGTTATGATTTTTAAAGTCACCCACAGTGAATTGTTGGGGCAGGTCTGATTTTGTACACATTTGTTGAAGGCACGTGATAGGTAACCTGCTTTTCAGGTGGCAGTCATCAAGAGAGGCAAACCAACAGACAAGAAACAAGGGTGCTAACAAAGGATTCACAGGTGGCATAAATGATTTGGGCTTGGCTGATAATTGATAACTTTGTGGTTTAAACGTACGCATTGTCATTGCTGAAGAAAGGTGTCACAATCTGTTTCCATGAAGATTACAGACAAGAAAACGCTATGACGTTCTACTGAACTCCCAACACGCTACTATATCCCCAAAGAGGTCTTTTAAAACTAGAGCGCTTTTGGAATGTGAGGGGCCTTCAAAAAGTTCATGAGAAAAATGGAATAGAAAGATAATGGAATTTTTCCACAGATTTTTCGACCCCTCCCCGTACAAAGTGTACAATTTATTGTCTTGATGAACTACATTTTTCTTAGTAAACTTTAAAATATTGTTTGAAATTGTAAAGATTAAAGTTGTATCAACTGGAATTTTTGAATGTCATGAACTTAAATATTGTCTTTTTGTTTTTTTCTTACAGCTGTTTGGGGCAACTTGGTTAATATGAGGTAAATGTTAAAATTTTTTTTATGTTAAATTGAATAATGAACTTAGTAGGTTTTATAGATACATTTCATTTATTACATACATACCATTGACATCCTGGGTTGGAACATTAAGTGGAACTGTTGTTTTTGTGATTCAGCACAATCTACTTTGCCAATTTTAATGATCACCGAGCTCTGGTAGCGTAGTGGTTACGAATCGGGCTGCGAACCGCAAGGTCAGCAGTTCGACACTGTCAGCTGTTCTGTGGGAGAAAGATGAGGCTTTCTGCTCCCATAAAGATTTACAGCCTTGGAAACCCTGTACAGGGTCGCTATGAGTCAGAACCTACTCTATGGCACATAACAAAATAAATCCCTTATGTAATGATCAGTTGAGATGTGGTAATGATCTGCTCCCATGTATTGCCTATAACATCCTTTCCCTCCTCATGTAATAACAGAGTACTGGTGTGGCTCTGTAGGATAAGAACTCAACTTCAAGGTTGGTTTGAACTGTGAGGTCAGTGGTTCAAACTCACCAGCTGCTCCTCAGAAACTCTATACAGGGTAGCTATGAGTCAGAATCTACTGGATGGCACTTAACAACCTTAATTTACACTGTTAATATCTAAATCACATTTCTAGGTAGCTAGAGCAAACACACGGGACTTCTCTAAATATTTTCAGAAGAGAGCTATCTTAGGACAAGATGCTGGTCCATGACGCTGGAGGAGCAGACTTGCAGATATGAATGACAACTTGCTTGGGTTTAGCCCATGAAGTGTGCAGTATCTGTGCTTCTTACTTGGTCAGGAGGGCCACTTGTAAAAGTAAGATTCCAGTGTTAATTTTTTTTTTTAACCCAACAAAAAATAACTTTTATACTAGTCAGACAAAAAGTAGTTAAGTATTCATTGATTGGGGGAAAAAAAAAGATTTGGAACAGTTAGCAGTTTGCCATTTGGAGAAAAATTAATAATTGCTTTTTATTTCTTGGGGTTAGAAAATGTAAGAATACATTTTTATTCTTGTGAGCTGCTAAGCTGGGATTGAAATTTTATTGATGCTGCATGAAAGTCTAGTACAAGGGTAGCCTGTGGCTGGCTATAGTGCCTTCTGGCTACTAAGCTTTTTATGTTAACTTGGATTTGCAAGGTGAGCGAGGCCATGTTGATCTGAGTCCTACCAGGGGGGCGTGTATGTGTCTTCTGTAGACTTTTGTGGGCAGTTAAGTCCGGTGTTTGGAGTCCTGGTGTGGCATTGTAGGTTAAGCATTGAATAGGAAGGTTGGTTTGAGCTCCAAGATTGTTGTTTGTAAAGTGCCATCGAGTCGTTGCCAACCCATAGTGACCCTATAGAGGGTTTCCAAGGTAGATGGTTCAGACTCACCAGATGCTTTGTGGAAACCCTATTCAGGCTCGCTGAGTCGGAACTGACTCAATTGCACTTAATCCCATTTGAAGGGGCGAGGTTTTTTAAACCTGGAAAAACTCCATTTTGCATTAAATCCCCAGGAAATTCCAGTGGACAAACTTGTACTCCTGTAGACATACTTTCTGTCTTTACTTTAAAATCTCATTTTAGGTATAAGAGATGTGAGCTTATTTTAGTTTAATAGAAATAATACATTAGGTAAGACATAGATTATTGATATAAGGGGATTCCTTTCCCTGATTGGTTCTGTTTCTTCTGTTGTTCCTGGAGGGAATCGGTACATGTGACTAATACTTGAGGGCTGATACTCCCTTCCCTAGAGTTAGATGCCCTGGTCCCTTAAGTTTCTATTACTGGAGTTTATTCAGAAATAAATCTTGACGTCAGAGCGGCTTTCAACTGATCTCAGTTTTGTAGTTTTCTACTCAACAGGTCTATCCAGGAAAATGGTGAACTAAAAATTGAGAGCAAGATTGAAGAGGTTAGTCTATTTTCCTTATTTTGCCTCTATTTAGAAACATTTGTCAGTTTTGCTTCCTTCGTGTGTAGGGGTTGGTGTCTTTATTGTGATAGCTTTATGATGTTCGAGAGATTTTGATACAATCTCTCAAAAAAGTATTTCTGTATTTTCAGACAATTTTATTTGTTTCCTAGTCAGTGCTATCTCTGTCAGTATTTGTCCATTTTATAAAGTTGTAACATAGCAAAGCAAATTCTACCTTCAGGGAAAAATTGATTGACACCGTCCCATGACTTTTCATGCAAGATATTCTGGAACTCCTTAGAGAAGAGAAAGTAATTACCTTTACCAGGGATGGAGGCAAACACTAGCATCCGATCACCTGAGCAGACGCTAAAAGGAAAAGTGCCCGCAAATCAGATGTGTATACTTGAGAATCACAAAGAGTGTCAATTTCTACACATGGGGCGGTCATGCCTACCTAAGTGAAAACTAGCACCAGGTGGTACAGTCTCAACGTGCTTGGCTGCTAACTCAAAAGTTTGAAGCTTGAGTCTACCCCAAGGCACCTTGGAAGAAAGATCTGACAGTCTAATACCAAAAATCCAGTGATTAAAACCCCTCTGAAGTACAGCTCTGTTCTAACACACATGGGGTCACCATGAGTCAAAGATGGTTGACTCCGCACCTCATCTTTTAAAGTATGTGCTTATATTTTGGTTAGTAAATATAGATACACCAACTGTCATAATGGGTTGGGGGAGGGTGCAAAATCGGCACCAAACCATTCCTCCCATACCCCTCTCTTTACTCCTCAGTTGGGTTTGATAATCCGTTGTAATGGCCACACAGAATTCAGACACAATATTAACAGTTATGGGGTTTGTTCGGTAAATTCACAGGTTGCAGTTTGGGATCAGAAATGTTCAGGGCACAATTGTTCCTGTCAGCTGCTGCTAAATGACTATAGGACTCACCATTCCACCATAAGCCTCACCTTAAGGCACTCTGTTCTAGCTCTGTGTGTCAGCAAAGCTAGCTCCCCCACTTAATTGCCCAAAGGCACCCTACTCTGCCAGCAAGCTTCCTGCTCATAGTCACTCAGCTTTACTTGCTGTGTGAGCAGGAAAAACCACTGCTCTGTCTCGTGCTCTAGGTTATGGTTCTGTTGCTCGTCTGCCACTCCTCAATGTGACAGGTTTACTGTTTCTGTCTTGAGGAGATTCAATGCGCAGTGGTTTCTGGGCCCAAAGGATTCATTCCCCTCCTACCACTTCTATTTTTGATGGTAGTGAGATCCCCTTCCCTTCCTCCTGCTTCTCAGATGGCTCATTTTATACCCATGTTAGAATTTCAAGTTTTTACAGTTACAGTAAACTCTGTTAGCATACACAGCTGAACCATACCATTAGTATTTCTCCTACCTGCTTTTACCCAGATCCAGCAGGCAAAAATATTGCTAGGTGGGAGTTACAAACTATGGGTAGAAGAGACATTAGACAATTGACTACACCACAGGGGGAATGAGGAATCATTCACTTATTGAAGATTTGAGATGAAGCCAAATGGTATACCTTGGATTGCCTTTGCTTGTTCTGTGGGGTTCATGGCTGTTCACACATGTGAAGGTGGCTTGATTCACAGCCTGTAGTTTATATTCTGGGCATAATAACAATAACATGTTACTATGTTACTCTATATATAATATTATTCTATAATAATAATTACAGAAACAAGATGCTAAGCTTTTGTGGGCAACACTTAAAGGAATTTGATATTGTCGCTGAAAAAAGAGACAAATGGTATTTCTGAGTCTGAAAGACCTTTCATATTATTACTAGAGACACCTCTTACATTATTTGTAGACTGGTAAGTAAGGAGAAAAGGTTAATATTTCTCAGAGACCTAGAGTAAGCATTATACCATGTAATATACCATCTAGATTTTAGAATTTTGGTTCATGTCATGTATCTTAATTTCAACTGAAAATGAAATATAGAAGAAATTAAACTCTCTTGCATTATGTCATGTCAATTTGAAATGTCACAATGGGGCAAGAATTGTGGAGAGCTGCGTTTTTACTTTAAAACTAATTTTGGCTGTTATTATTTTAGATTGTTGAGCCATTAAGAGAGAAAATCAGAGACTTAGAAAAAAGGTATGTATACTTTTGTTTTGAATTTAGGAAAAACATTTAAAAAAAAAACTCTTTTAGGAGTTAACTACCTAGTATAATGGAGTCCTGGTGTGGCACTGTGGGCTAATGTGTCAGACTGCAAAGTTGTTTGAACTGCAAGGTCGGTGGTTCAAGCTCAACCAGCTGCTCCTTGGAAACCTATACAGGGTCGCTGTGGGTCGGAACCAACTCGACAGCACTTAACAACAACAACAATCTGGTATATTAAATATCAAATATCTAACATAAAAGGAGTCCTGGTGTGATGCTGTGGGTTAATGCTCTGGATTGCAAAGTCAGTTTCCTACCAGGTCAGCGGTTCAAGCTCACCAGCTGCTTCTTGGAAACCTTATACAGGGTCACTATGGGTTGGAACTGACTTGACAGCACTTGACAACAAATATGTAAAGTTCAGCATTTAAATTGACCTTAACTGAGCAATTAGTTCCATAATATGAAAACTGTAAAGGCATGTAAAAATACTCTCAAGACAAAGAACTATTCCATGAAAAGATAAATTTTACTTAAAAAAATTTGTATCTACTGTCCTTAAACCCGTTTGTTGGTTTTTCTTTTATTATTAAGATCTATTTATGATGAAAGCCACAGCCCCTCCAGGAAAAAAACCTTTTAAAAAATATAGATTATTTCTTGTGGAGGGGTCTTCACAAAGCCTAACTGGCTGGCTGTGTATAGGCTTTCCCAGGCTGACATCCTTTTTTTTTTTTTTTAAGCTGGAAATACGTTTTTTATTTTTTATACAACTGCAGTAAAACTATTTTACAGAGAACAAATCATGGTTTCTATTGTTGTTGTTGTTAGGTCGAGTCGGTACCGACTCATAGCGACTCTGTGCACAGCAGAATGAAACACTGCCCGATCCTGGGCCAGTCTCACAATTGTTGCCACGCTTGAGCCCATTGATGCTGCCACTTTGCCAATCCATCTCGCTGGGGGTCTTCTTCTTTTTCTCTGACCCTCCACCTTATCAAACATGGTATCCTTCTCCAGCGACTAGTCCCTCCTGACAATATGTGCAAAGTATGAAAGACGAAGTTTGGCCATCTTGGCCTCCAAGGAGCACTCTGACTGCATTTCTTCCAACACAGATCTGTGGTTCTTTAGGCTGCGCATGCACTTTCAGTATTCTCCGCCAGCACCATAACTCAAATGCATCAGTTCTTCTGCGGCCTTCCTTATTCACTACCCATCTTTCGCATGCATATGAGGTTAATGAAAAGACCATGGCTTGGGTCACTTGCACCTTAGTCCTCAAGCTGACATCTTTGCTCTTTAACACTTTAACAAGGCCAGTTGCAGACTGTGAAACAGACCATCAATTTTTGATGGTTTGCTCATACGCAAATTCAAACTGAAACAAAGAAAATGAAAATAAGTCCACAGAGCCAAAATATGACCTTGAATATATCCCACCTGAATGTAGAGATCATCTGAAGAACAGATTTGATACATTAAACACTGAAGACCCGAAGACCAGAAGAGTTGTGGGATGACATCAAGAACATCATACGTGAAGAAAGCAAAAAGTCATTAAGAAGACAACAAAGAAGGAAAAGGTCAAAATGGCTGTCAGAAGAGACACTGAAACTTGCTCTCCAGCGTAGAGATGATAAAGCAAATGAAAGAAATGAGGAGGTGCAAGAGCTGAACAGAAAATTTCAAAGATCAGCTTGAGAAGATAAAGCCAAATATTACAAGAAACTATGCAAAGATCTGGAGTCAGAAAACCAAAAAGGAATAACACAGTCAGCATTTCTCAAGCTAGGGGAACTGAAGAAAAATGGTTTATATTATAACTAGGGAATAATTATACTGTTCATTTTTTAATTTAATGTTTTATTGTGAATTATGTGATAGTTTACATGGGAGAACATGAGCTTAACTTTCATCCTATCTTACATCGTTTCATGGCCATGATTACAATCCCCTCTAAGCATCATCAAACAACCAAAAGGTATACCCTACAAGCCTGCTCCCTGGTCCTCAGCACACAGCCTCTCTCCCTCTCTGGGTCTGGAGTCCTCAGCCACTCCATTTCTCCACGTCATTGTCTCTGCCTCCATCTCTGTCATCACTATTTCTCTGGGTAGGGTCCCGCACTCCTCTCTTCTTCCTTGATGGTCCCAGGGAGCACCGCTTCTGGGCTATAACATCAACCACTCCCTTCCTTTTGCTAGAAAACATCTGCCTTTACATTTCCAACCCTCACAGTCAGTCCTGATAGCAGTTATTCACTATTGTACCACATGAGTGCCATCCCCATCTCCTTTCATCGGCCCCACCCAGACAGATTGGATATTACTCAGTGGAGATTCTACCTTCCTCCACGCTCTTTCAATATAGACTTCCTCTTGAAAGCTTGTAAGTCAGTCACTTCTTGCCTTTGTAACCCCCCTATTTTGGGTAGCCAATGTCCAAGTTGCCAATCCCTGTCTACCCTGTGTACTGAGGGGGTGGGAATGATCTTTGCTGTAAAGATTTGCTCCCTTTTTTGAGCTACTGCATCCAGAGGTGTAGGTCAAGTTCATCAAATTGTATCAGATTACTTTTTTCATACCCCATCTTCTTTCTTCATCTAGTTGAGTTCTTACCATCCAGTCATTGAAGCCAGGTCAAGAGGGTATTTTCTGCAAGTGTGTGTGTGTTCTTTTCTATATCCCCTCACTTACTATTAGCTGGACGCTTCACTCTCCACTCTAGTCCTCTGTGACTGTGTCACTGTCTCTGGGCCCAGGAGTCCTCAAGTCTTGCCATACTGCTGGCCAACCAGGTCTCCACCCGGGTTTACAGGAGTCTTTTGAATGTAGTCGGCCATAGCTCACAACTTCATTGCTGTTTTCCCCTCACTTCCCCTTATCAGTGATGAACCTGGTCACCAATCAGAGCGTGTATTCCCATTGAGTCTTAGTCTTGGAAAGGGGTTTGCCCCAAGGGGACCTTCCCACTTGCCATGATGTCTCCTGGGTGAGCAGCTTGCTTGTTCTTGTGGTAATCAGTGGGTCTGCCTATATTGTTTTGTATTTTTCCTGTCGGTCTTTCTTTCAAGAAGTATCTTCTGTTCTTCCAGTCATTCCTGGCTGGTCTGCTTGTCCTTTCAAGTGGAAATTTTCCACCTCTCAAGATTCTGGATGGGGTTCAGGATTCCACCTATAGTCTTATGTAATGCAGAGACTCTGCAGGAAGCCTCCTTCACTGGGCACATTGTAGCCCCATTTTCTGTATTCCAATCAGTTACAAGCGTCTATTTTATAATGGTATGCCAGAGATGTGGTCTATTCTGGAGAATGTTCCATGTGCAGTGGAAAAGAATGTGTATTGTGCTGTTGTTGGGTTGAATGCTCTGTACACATCTATGAGGTCCAGTTGGCTGATTGTGTTGTTGGTCCGTTCTTCTGTGTCTTTGTCAATTTTCTTTCTGGTTGTTCTACCCATTTTTGAAAGCAGTGTTAAAAGCACTCACTATTATTGTAGATTCGTCTATTTCTTTCTTCAAATCTATTAGAGTTTGCTTTTTATATTTTGGAGCTCTTTCATTGGGAGCATAGGTATTCATTATGGTTATGTCATCTTGTTCAGTTGTCCCTTTAATCATGAGATAATGTCCATCTTTATCTATTATGCTGGTTTTTTGCCTTAAAGTTTATTTTATCAGTGATTAGTACTGCCACTCCTGTTGTTTTTTATTGCAGTTAGCTTGGTACATATTTTTCCATCCTTAGACTTCTAATCTGTTTTTGTAAGATGTATGTATCTCTTACAGACAGCATATTGAAGGATCTTGTTTTCTTGTCCATTCTGCCACCCCCAGTCTCTTAACTGGTGCATTTATTCTGTTTACAATCGGTATAATTATTGATTGTTGTTGTTGTTGTTAAGTGCCATTAAGTCATTTCCGCCCCTTTAGCGACCCTATATAGGGTTTCTGAGGAACACCTGGTGAACTTGAACCGCCGATCTTGGCAGTTTAAACGGCTTTGCAGTTTGGTGCATTTATCCACAGCACCACACCAGGACTCCATAATTATCTATAAGTATGGATTAATTGCTGCCATTATGTTTGTTTTTCTGTGGTATTGCTGCTTTCTTTGTCCTACGTGTCTTCCTTTGCTGTGTTCATGCTTTTTGTGTTCTTTCTTGTGAGTTTCCTCATTGTTTTTACTATTTTCGTGTTCTTGGATTTTCATTTTCTTGGTATGTTGTGTAGTGTTAATTTTCTTTGAGTTTACCTTATATTCCAGTAACTTTTCCCTCCATTAATGCAGTCTATTTTACCCTGTTACATACCTGATCTTCTCACCGTCTGGATCTGTGTTCCTACGTGTTTACCTTATTTCACATTGTAATTGTTTTGATCATAGACTGACCTCCCAGAGTATCTGAGTTTGTTCTAACAGTTTTGTTTTGTTCTCAACTCTTCCATCTGTCAATTTAGTTCTGGGAGTTGCTGCCACATATGTCAATCTCTGGTTGTTGTCTGTTCTTGTTGGTTCTCAGTCCACAAAACTCCCTTTAGGATGTTTTATAGTGCAGGGTTGGCTTTGGCAAAATCCCTTAGCTTCTGTTTATCCTGGAATATTTTGATTACACCGCCATATTTGATTGATAGCTTTGCTGGATAAAGGATTCTTGGTTGATAGTTTTTTTCTTTCAGGGTTTTATATATGTCTCCCTATTGCCTTCTTGCTTTCATGGTTTCTTCTGAGAGATCCAAGCTTAATCTGACTTGCTTACCTTTGTTATGTAATGCTTCTTTTTTCCTTAGCTGCTTTCAGGAGTGTCTCTTTATCTTTGATTTTGGAAAAAGAGCTTGATTATGATATGTCTCAGTAATTTTCTTTTGGGGTCTATCCTGCCTGGAGTTCATTGAGCTTTTCAGGATGTTAGAGAAATTTTCTTCCAGCAGTTCTTCAACTATTTCCTCTGTTGACTTGTGTTATTCTTCTTGTTCTGGAATGCCGGTA